CGTATAAAAAGATATTTAAAGAATGCCGATTGTCTAGGGGCCACCCTAACCTGCTTGTTTAAAAAAATTATAACTCATGAACCATAAGAGATATGGTACGGGTGTGTATGTGTGTGCGTGTTGGTGTGCTTTGAAAAAGGCATTGTGAAGCTTGCTACAGTATACACCGCAGATTATATAACTTAGAAACTGATATTTTCCAAAGAACACTTTACTTGTTATTCCTAATTTCAACATCTTTCGCAAAAAATCGCAAAACACATTAAAGCCTATCTGAACGCTAGCTTTTCTAGCTATCTTTTGGTTACTAAAGGATAGTAGGCAGATGTGTCCGTCATATGTTTTGCATAGTCTAAATGTGAAAAAAGTATATTTTTGCTATTTTTTCATTTGAAACTGTCACTTAAAACAGTGCATACGCTCTTTTTTCCATCCATTTCACATGAAATAAGCCAAGGAACATTTCTTCTCAAGCAACCAAGTTGATAAACACATTATTTTTTGCTATATTTGAGCAAAACAGTAACAAGAAACATTACGATTTTGACGTAGGACTACGTCTGTGATTTCTATATGGGGGTACACTTTGTAAAACCAAAAATGGAACATGTAACAAAATTATGAAAGATTTTGAACGTTAATAACTCAGCTGCCCCTAACTAATTTCAATAATTTTAACACCGATCGATCAGAAATATTTCTACATATCTGTTTAAGGGGAAGCTCACCGGCCCAAAAATAAAAAAATATTTTCGGTACGTTTTTATTTTTCTAAAAATATTGGGAAAAATTATCAAAAATCCAAGAAAATCAGTTTCTCAGATTTTTGTCAAAAATTACATGCAAAAAAATTTTTTCTATCCCATCATTAAAAAAAATTGGACTCTCAGAAAAACCGAAAAGTTGATGTTTTGTGGTTTTTTGAGTCCAACTTTATGCCATAATGACTTATAAAACATGTTTTTGCACGTGAATTTTCTTTAAAAAATTAGAAAAAATGTGATTTTTTTAGATTTTTGATACTTTTTTTTTTCAATATTTTTAGAAAAATGACAACGTAATTTTTTTTTCGGAGCGGTCTGCTTCCCCTTAATTTAAGACTTAAGTATTTTTCAAAATGCCACTATTGAAAATTGCACGAATGTGCAACTGTTGCTATGATAATTAAAATTATCACCGATTGCCTGCGAAAAGCGTTTTCCCTAACACATATTTCAAAGTTGAATTCCATCCGGTCTCACCAAACGGTGTTTATTCAATCACCGCGTGGTGAGTGGTGGTGTTCACCAGTACACAACGAAAGGCTCCCCGCGAACTGCAGCCCACATGAGCATCCATAGAACGATGAAGAAGCCGCACCGCTATTGATCGACGCTTCAAATTCCGTAGTCGAGCATTGGACCATGTGGGTTTGGGAGAGGGTCTCTTCAATGGGACAGAATTAGTTATTGCCCGGCCAACGACCTCTGCGACGTAGTTGACGGCTTCATCAATAGATGAACACGTGTCAAGGAACTGCAAATCTGCCTGGGCAAGCGAGTGACTCAGCGCGACGAAATCTGCTCTACGAAAGTCGAGCTCATGTACATCAACAAGGGGGTTATCGTAGCGAACAGGAACCTATTGATGGAAACTTGCAACGCAGGATGATTGGTGTCGATGCCAATCAAAGGCTCTGGGGCTTCTAGGATAGAATGTTCCAGTCCTGCAGCTTCGTTCGCCAGAACGAGATCAAGCAGCCGAGAGTTGCTATTCAGTATCGAGTTGATTTGCGTTAAGCCATGCAGGTTGAAACCACCAAGGAGAGCACAGCAGGAGGCGGGCATGTTCGAGCGAAGAACATCAATGCTAGGAAGATCGTTTGCAGGAACTTTCCATGAGAGCCCAGACTGATTGTAGTCACCAAATACCAGAGCTAGGTCGCTTTGTTCTAGTCGAGAGAACACGATACCAATCGAACTGATGTGACCTTTAGCCTATTGGCACTTACTCAAAATCGGGTTTTAACAATAAGTCTAAATGCTGGGGGTGTTAGAACAATTTCAAATGGGATTTTTATGTTGTTAATACTCGATTAGACTAATAACCTACAGTAGGTCACTTGACAAGTTAAGGGTGGAGTACACTTTGATTTTTCAAAAAAATGCATTTTTTTGGCTTAAAATGTTCCTTGGGATGTATACTTTAATTTAGAAAAGACTCCAAGTCAGCCAGAATATTCCTTACCGCTTAACGAAGCGATTTCCTAAAACATGTAACATGTATCTTTAAACGCGTTTATCTCGAAACGGGGTTTTTTAAACTGGCTCTAACCAGTTATCATCAAATTTGGATATTGCCTAGGTTTTCTTGTTCAAAATTAAATTCTGCTTAGAAATACGTATCCACATTTTCGATTTTGTCAAAAATGGATTTTTAATCCACGATTTTGTAAGCATTTTTAGGGTGAAAAAATGGACTTTTTTTTCCTAAGGCCACAATTTTTGAAAAAATGAATTTAAAAAAATCGGAACACGTATTTTTAACCCAAATTTCATTACTAATCAGGATTTTTGTTCGATTTATGTTCCAGGATCACATGGAAAGGAGTATTTTCCCACGCCTTTTTTCGAATTCCGCGCGAGGACGCCCGCGCGGCCTGGTGCACCGGCCACGGGGAGACGCCAATCGAGTTCAAAAAAATACAAATTTTTGTTCGAAGGATGACAAATAAATGGGTTATAACATATTTGCCCTCCCTGAGTGTTTTATTGCTTACAAAAATTAACGAAAATGCCTTACTTTTTGGACGTTCAAAGTGTACTACCCCCTTAATTCAATTTTATTGGATTTGTAACAGTGTGCTACAACTTCCTTGATTTAAAGACTTGTTTGATACGTAAAGTTTTTTTTCAACCAAATAAATAAATTGAACAAAAAAAAAATCTGAACCATAGATTTCATCATGAGTAAAAAGAAATATCATGTTTGCAAGAAAATCAATGTTATACGAGGACCCAGTTTTCTTCCATTTTCTATGGATGTATATTGCAGGTTATTTTTGAAACGCTGTTGGCAACCCTGGCAATACCTACTTGTGAAACATGTTTCAATCCACCGAGTAATCCAACAGTTAGCTAAGCAGACGTTATACGAACAACGTTCCTGTCAGTTGATGCTAAAAGCCTCTTCAGCAGCATTAGTATTGCATTATAATCACATTGTAAGCTGTTAACAGATTAACAACTAATTTATGATCGTCTCCGCTGGGGCAACTAATATATTCCCCAGAGCTTCTGAAACCCAGCCACTTAGCAGCGGACATAACCGGTAAGTCAGTGGGCAGGCAGTACTGAGCGCCATCGGTTTGTTTAAAATATTAAAAAACCTTTTGAGAACAATTCGTAACGCCGCCGCCGCTTAAGTGCATCACGCACCTTGCCCTCTAATCGAATCTTCATCCCGAGTGGGTGTTAGTTTTTGTATCTCCCCCCGCGCCTCGTCTCCTGTGTGTCCCACCGGGTGGTACTTGAATGGGATAAAGTGGTCGACCGCACAAAAACCCATTCGATCATAATCGCTTCTAATTGAAAAGTGCTGTTCAACGGGCGCTCGGTCGCTCGCTCACGCGGGCGCACTTCCCATCCTCCTTGTCATATAGTAAATATGTAACTCCCTCTTCAGCATTTAGAGTTTTCACTTTTTATTCCATTCGGCGTTGTGTTGTTTTCGAGTGAGTACATTTTATTTTATTATTTTAGTTTGTTACGTTCGGACAGAGGAGTGCTTTGCGGTTCGTCAACTTTCTGATGAGTCTCGTTGGATCGGATCGGGTGTATGTCTACTCCAAGCAGTCGGTGGCAGCAGCAAGTGAGTGTCACTTTGTCTTCAAACGAGTCCATCTCTCCTCAGACGAGGGGGGAACATTATCTCTAGCATTATCAACATGGGAAAACGGTTCATGGTATGTTTTTTTTTTTTTACGAACGGCACAGTTAATTAAAGATTATATGTGGATCATGTCAGCAGATGAGCATTGGGTTTCATTTCGCTTTTATCATCGTCGTTGCTAGTTGCTAGATATGTATCGGATCGAGGGTGACATGACAGAAACACGCCAAAGTTGACAACTCAACTCACGATGCGCGTGTAGCTAATGGTATTAGAATTTCAAATTGAATTCAAACCGGCTACCAACCCGGATCGATGGAACTTTCCCGGAACTGTGAGTGAATAATAATGCAAACGATCAGTCAGAGAAGGTGTTTCAATTAGCACAAGATTTGCTGCTATACGAGAAAGTGTGCAAAATTTTCCACCCTCAAAACCAGCTTTTTATAATGTGGCAATCCACTTTGGAGAATCATTGAAGAAAAAAAAAACACGGCAATCAGCTAAAGTAACGTTCTTCAGATCCCAGCGAGATACGAGCGCTCGCGCCAAGCCTAGAGGAGCAATAAAATAATAAAATGTATTACCAAGTTCCATTAGAATGACACAAACACGAAAGCCCCACTCTTCCATCAGACTCTCCGGTGGTGGTAGTTCGCATCGAAGAAAGTAGCAACACGCACAATGTATTTAATTCTTTTACTGCAATTGACCCGCCAAGAGTTCCCCGCGGAGGGACGAACGGTCATTACTGCAACCGAATGCCTATTTATTAAGCATTAAAGTGGGTCTATGGATATGGCTAATTTCAGCTAACCCTCAACCCCAGCACCAGACCATCGAGGCACAAAATCGGGAATAGCCACACATACAGGGGTCATGCACGATACATCAAATGTGTCATGCCTAGCCTCTATGGTAGTATGGAAGTGCGGCGTGCGCGTATGGGACGAAGAATGTGTCAACTGTTTATCTGATTTGGTCACGCCGCCGCCAAAGCAGGTTCGGGTCGATCGGTCGTCGTCGGTGTACAAGGCTGGTAATTTGAATTGCACCTAGCATCAGAGGGCAGGTCAACCTAGCGAGGCACACACGGTAACGAACCTTGTTGCTCCCGTCCGTGTACTTACATAGTTATGGTGATTGCTATTCGTGTTGCTGCTGCTGCTGCTGCTGCTACTACTGACTGCGGTGACGTTACTGACTAGTCTGGTTGAAGTGTAGTATCCAACTATGGAAGTAGGTCCGTGGGGCAATCAGCGAATTGATTACAATTGGCATGGGGACCCGCTCCGATGATTGATGGGTGATAAACATGTGCAAACTTCATCATTGTTATTCTGGTGGAGAGTTTATTTGAGGCTGAGTTGTTTTATGGAAGCGCTTTTAAGGCGGATTTCTCGTGCGAAACCTTGTAGCCTGTTGCAAAATTAAAACCAATTCGATTGAATGCAATTTCGGCATGACCATACCAATCAGATACTAAGTCACGCAAATAGATCACCTTTTCGTGGTGCGTTACGGTGTAACCACCGAAGCCTAGTCCTGACTACTTCAAATTAGGGTCACAGAATTTTTCAGTAATTAAAGGAACACAAAGGAGAAAAAAATAGGGTTCTCAGAAGGAGATTCCCAATCTTGCCTGTGGTACAATCTTGCTATAATGAAAAGGTTTAGAAAACTGCCAAAAGGGCCAACACAACGGAAATACAAACAAGGAACAGTCAGATATTGTGGTAAAGGTTCGCCTCCTTTAGGAAGGTGATGAGGGCGGCTGCTGCTGGGGACTCGTCGCCCCACAGGTTCCGAATGCTGATTGACTCCAAGCCGAAGGCTGCCCGAAGGTCCTCCAGTTCCACGCAGTTCACGAGGATGTGCTCCACGGTGGCTGGCAATCCGCAGGTTTCGCAGGTCCTCCAGAACGGTGGTCCTCCGAAGTTGTGGGAGACTCTGCTGTGCCCGGTCCACAGCCTTGACACCACTCGTTGTTCTCTTAAGTTTGGTCGATCCTTCCGGTGGTCGCCTTGATCTTCCGAAGGTGGTGTGTCCTGTTGTTCCTCCACTCGGTGTCCCAGGCTCTCCAAATCGTCCGCATGATCCACTATTACATACCCTTGGATACCGCAGTGACCGGGTACCCACATGAATACTGTGTTGGGCGGTGCGTGCTTTACCGTCCCTTGGATCCACGGATGCTTCGGTGTTTCTGTTGTTAGGGCCAATATCACGCTGTGTGAGTCAGTTAAGATTAATATCGGCCGGTTGGCCGGTAGCTTAACCGCGTGGAGAATGGCCGCTGCCTCAGCTGAGAACACCGATCATTGGATCGGGAGCGATCTGCTCACAAGCAGACCATTTCCGGAAACCCCCATTCCCACTCCGCTCCTGGAGAGAGAGCCGTCGGTGTACCGAGCTTCATAACCTTGGTAGTGCACTCCGAGAGTTTCGATAAGTGTCCGGCGTAAAGCCAGCGAGTTGTCTCCTGCCCTGAAGCGGTCCTTGATCCGGATGTCAATTTTGATCTTGTGCGATTGCCAACTTTCTCCGTGCCAGTGGACCCTGGCCACTGCAGGGAGATCTACGTCGGCGGCCGTGCGGAGGAGTCGGTTCGCCTCGTCGAGGAGAACGATCCTGTTGTTTCCCGACGTTTTAGCGAGAAAGGCAGCGGCTTTGGTAGCAGTATCTGCGGTGAAAACGAGCCGGAAAGGTAGAATACCGGCTTCAACGCATGTAGCGTCGGCCGGGGGAGGGGAGGGCAGGAGACCGGAGACTGTTCGAACGTAGCCGTTGTACACCGGTCTGGACGGCTTTCTCGGTGTCAAGGCATGTAATCTCTACACCGTACAGTAGACGACCCAAGTAACCAAAAGTTCTGATAAAAGGCTATTTATGGCTTACGCACCTTGGTTGAAGGTGGTCTATAGAATTCTATGCAGCCTCATTTTTAAGTCGGTATAAGAACTTGAAAGTTCCGGTACCATAATTGAAGAGCATTCTTAGTAGCCTCTGGCGGAACTTGAACGGAACTTTTAGAAAATAAATTAAAAAATGTTTTTGTCCTCTAAACCAATTTTATATTAAATTAAGTTCGCACTTTTATGAAAGTTATTTCTAAAGGCAGATATTAATGTGTATTGATTTATCAGCATTAGTAGTAATAATGGATCAGTTGGAAGAATTAAACCCAATCCTTTTGCGTGAGAGTTTCAGCACGTACCACTACGTTATTAAAGTGAGCTGTTGTCACGCCTATTGTTGGAGTTTTCTGAGCCAGCTTACTGACTTGAATACGAAACACAACACCTTGATGAATTTAAATTGGTGTTTGCCCGCTTGGTATTCCATCACACTTGTGGCGCAGTGGTTAGCAATCGTAGATCACATGCCCGAATACACGAGTTCAAATCCAGGAAATTTCTTTTTTTTTTTGATATAATGTTGCATAAATATATTAGAATTATGATTTATTCGGGCAAGTGTTTATTTCATATTTACGTACATTAAATTTTGTTACAAAAAAAGATTTGTGCGGATTGCTTCATGTGGCTTGAAAGTTCTGTCGGAACTTTATTTGAACGTTATGGAACTTGAAAGTTCTTAGTTGAAGATGCTAATTTCAAATAACAGACTGTAGTGGTAATTTTTATACGATAGATGGAATAGATGAAAGCATAGAGTTGATAGTTCCGTTAGATTACGGCAGTGTGAAGATTGTATATAGATATTAGAGAAGCGAGCTAGGACAACTTTTAAGGAAGGAACAAATCGGTTTTTTCATCTCTCTTTACCAAACTCCCCCTTTGGAGGGGGATGGTGAGGGGTGTCCCCCCAATCAATCTTAGTTGAATTTATAAAGTTCTTGAAGAGATTCTGAACTTTCCAGATTGACGTAAACATTGACGGCGCCATTCAGCCGGACTAGTCTCTTCACGCAGTGATTGACAGATTCTTATGAGGTATTCGGAGGTTTGTTATAAAAAAAGTTGAAAACACTTGTTTATGACATCTCATAAATTAATATAACTGAAAATGTGCAGGTTGTCTTATAAGGAGCTGAAAATACTTAAAAATAACACTATGGCAATTAGATGTACGCTTTGCTGCTAACAAAACATCTTTATGACGGATCGAAAGCGTGTTGAACGAGAATATAATTTTCATGCCATTGGCAAGAACATGATAGATACTTATAACAAATCTCTCATCAAGCGGAGTTGGTCTAGTTAGGAAGTAATAAGTCTACCACGCCAAGGACCAGTGATCGAATCCCATGCTCAAGTTTTATTTTAATTTTTTTTGCCGCTGGTTTTTATGATGTTTCCGAAACATGTTATAAGACCAGTATTTAGTAATATAAGCTCCGCGTCTTGCGCTTTTTAGGTTATATAAATTTATTAAATTACGTATATTACAGTATTATTGATTCTTTACGTAAGTCATTAAAAAGTATTTTAAACTTCTTTATGACAAGCCGTGTTGCTTGGGTTACTATAGTGATACACTTACTCGGAAAAAAAATCCGTTCCCGAAAACGGGAACGGACCGTGAACTAAAAATCACGGCCAGCTATCCAGAACAAAATTGTCTCAAATATACACCGTAAACTATGGTTCACGGCTGTGGTTCACGAATATGGGAACTCTTTTTTTCCCGTGTAACTAAGACACGGGATAAGGAGGAGAACAACTTCGGCCTAAGCGTCTTTTTTTGGCATATCGAGCAGAAAAAATAAAATTTATCTATGATTTTCCCGTAAGCTACTCGTAGGTCTTGAGAAGAGGGCAACAGTATTCGCATACCATGTCTACGCTTCAAATTTATCCGGATCCATATACCCATAACATAATTGTTCAGTGGATAAAAATAAACGGAGCCTCTCTCTATCAATTTTTTCGTTTTCAAAAAAATATCCATGTTAGATATATCCGGGTAATTTAACTTAGATATTATCCATTATTTTTCTATCCTGATTATTGTCACCATTGTCTACCAAACATCCCATATCATGCAGTATTTCGCCACTAATTTATATTTCTGTATGTTTCTGCAAGAAATGTAGCATGTTTCGTAGAAAACACACTTAAAAAGTTGTATTCTCTGTTCTCTGTTCGAGACATAACACCACTGCGACCAGTAATTTGATCTATTGTAGTATATCCCGTGTTCTTAGTTTAGTGCATGTCGTATAACTCCATCACTATTGAGAAATGATGAAGTATTCGGTTTTGATACAGTTGTCATTCTTGCCTTCATCGCAAGGAATCGATTCTGACTGAAAGGTTCCGCTATTTATACCCTTCGAAGTTGGAGCACACTCCAAAGGCGCGCCCTTTGTCAGTCAAAATTGGATTCCTTAACAACAAAAACAAGCTATGACACCATGCATCAGAACCCTAGTCTTAACCACTTCAAATTAGGTAACAACGATTAAAAGATTAGGAATCACATAGGTGAAGACTAACTAACTCATTTTTCCTTGTTTCAAGATCATCCTCGGTCCAGGCAACCCGAGGACTTATCACTATCAACAAGGCATTAAAAGTAACAAGGACTAAGATGTGTTCCTTTGATTACTGAAAAATCCTGTTCCCCAAGTTTGAAGTAGTCAGCACTAGGAATCGGTGGTAGATCTTACATCCCATAACGTACCACGAAAAGATGGCGCGTACCATTAATCCAAGATTTAAACACGACCCTAATAAAAATTGTATGGTTTATTTGCCTAACGACGTGTTCTGGGTATCATCCAAACCATTTGTGGAATAGTTCAATTATTTGGGTTATCGTTCGTTTATGGTTATTTTTTATTAGGGGATGCTTTAGAATCCAATAAATGGATGAAACGTGGACATCTCGTACCGTACGTTCCGTTGTATTGTTATTTATAAATCATTTCTCGTTGGGAGCATCTAGTCTAAAAAGGTTAAGTGATGCTCCATTTTCTTCTACTGTGTTACCTGACTTATAACGAATATACGTTGTATACGAGTACCCTAAATACAACGTATGACTCGTCTAATTTTGCATAGCATTTGTAATGTAAAATTAGACGAACAGACACAGTAGCGGTTGGGACCTGAGCAATAACTCTTGTCCTAGACCTATGTGGCACATGGTTATAGCACAGACAAACAGACATAACTCTTAGAAGAAAATTCTTCAAAAAATATCGTCAAGCGTATTTTGCATGCGCACTAGCACCATCTATCATCCACATTCCCAAGCATTGTTTTGCAACTGGAGCATCCCTCGTTCATGCAATTTTTTCACTAGTTGCTTTTCCCTCGTTCTGTCAACGCGTCAGCTGTGTTGAAAAAAAAAAACAAAACAGAT